AATACAAACCGTTCTTCAGCTCTACAAACAACATGCAGCCTTATCAGGAATTGTAAATTAAGAGTTTAAATTTTATTTTTTTTAATTTTCTATTTGAAGATATACAGAAATCCTCAATGGAATGCAACTCAAAAGCACTTCAGAAAAATTATGAATACAAATATTCAAATTCAATATCCCCCTCCAGGCAGCTCGACCCAGCCAGTTCTTGGGAATCACCTTTGTCTTTAAACCTCATTCTGTTTCCCTTTATCAATTTGTTACCTCTATAGATTTCATTGCACTTGTGTTCAGTCCCTCTGTTCTCATCTACACTTGGGAGGGGCTCAGGAGGAAGATCCTCATCATCACAAATTTATCATAAAATAATTATAATTATCAAAAACTATATTTCTTTGTCTTAATATATGGTATGATTTATGATTATTTAACATTAAAAAACATCATTTCCTTGTTCTAATTACTCAGGAATCTCGTTTTAACAGTTTTGATTCAAAAAATTTTAATAATCTTTAAATTCAGATAAATTCATACTCTCTTAATTCTATTAGAACTAAAGTTTTAAACTTACTTCAAGACATTTATTTTCAATTAATAAGATTTAATATTTGGCCCAATATTTTCATTATAAATTTTGAGCAATCATTAGAATTCATACACTCTCATTCTAAGCATTCTCCTTATTTCAGGTATACCGAGATAATGATCATTTAAAAATTTTGGCCTAACTCTTAGGGAAAGATGGGGCAATTTATAAATCAAAAAGAAATAATTTATTTTAAGAACACTCAGATTTCAATCTATACTCAAGATGTTGAAAAAAGAGTTCGATAGTTATAATAAGTTCCAATCATGAATCATACATTTTGGAAAAACCTCTAAAATACTAAATAAGAATTTAACCAAAAAAGCATGTGAATGAAGAGTATAAAACAAGAAGGAAGGCACTTGAAGACTCTTATAATTTAACTAAGGAATGGGGTAAAGATCTTGTTTTGCTTTAATCAGCCATTTTCCATTAGATATCTTTGATTTTCTCCCTTATATAAATTTAGTAGATTTTGTATTGCTAATTTAAATACTTTGTTGTTGAAGATTTCCTTCTTGTGATTTGGTTTACTCAATACTTTTAGCCTTGGAAGAATATAAATAATTTTCTAAGACTGTAGTTTTTTTACTAGAGTATAAAGTTATGTTATTATATTATTTTTGAATATGTCTATTAGGAGAAAACATGGGTCGTCTGTTAACTAGCCAAGTTCAATATAGAGGATTTCCGCAGCAAATGCATTCTCTCTTTCATTTATAAAATTAGTAGCAAACTTTTCGATCTTTCCTTGAGTTAACTTTGATTCTAAAAATCATTCCTAACTCTATAAATTACATTCTAGTATTTGCAGAGATAATCATTGCCATATAATATTCAACAATAAAATACGATATACGCTATTCATCAGAACCAAAAGATGCATGACTTATTGTATAGTCTTTCTCAGTTTTAAAGAAGAGGATTTAAATAAGTTTAGTTAGATTGGATGCAAGATAATTTCTAAAATGCAAGAAAAAAAAATTAGGAATTAGAAATGTTGTTCGGCGTCATTCACAAAAAAAGCAATTAAGTTAGAGATATCTGCTTTAAATTGATTGAAAGCTCAATAAGTTTCAGTTATATAAAAAACTAAAAAATTGGGTTAAAAGCATCATAAAGATTTGATTAAATCTTTTTGTAAAAGAAGAATAAAGGGGCTCTAAAAAGTATAAGATATAATTAGCTTATTGCCAGTTTTATGTGATAGAGGAGTGATAATTTTGAGAGGATCTATAGATTTACTTAAATCTCTCTTTATTATTTTTCAAAGCTCCTTTTTAAAATTATTTACAGTCAGTTTTTAAAAGTTGGTTTTAGATTTTTGTAAGGTTTTATTTATTAAATATCTGGTAAGAATCATATTTGAAGATTAATGTTTTCTAGTTTTTAAAATTTACTGAATAAAATGTGGAAACCTAAGAAATAATCATAGCCTCCTTAGGAGGAGTTTTAGATAGCTTTATTTATTATTATATAGGCATATTATTAGAATAAATGATCTTTGATGATATTTATTATAATTTTCTTAATTATTATTCTTGACTACCTATTCATAAGGGAATTTAAATGCTGAAGCTATTTACCTATTCCCCTAAAATATACACTTTTGATATCTGAATTGAGCCTTAATTAAATTAAGTTAAGAATGCTGTATTAAAATGAAAATTCAATATAGAGATAGGTTGCTTATTTGTATATTGTATACGAAGTATTTAATATCATCATCAATTTATTGATTGATGTCTATTAATAAATATTACCCTTATTTTTTATTTTCTGCTATTAATGATTTACCCTTATATTATAGCGAGCAAATTTTAAAATGTCATCTTGACAGACTTTTCTAAATAAATAAAGACGCACATTTTCAGTCTAAAATATTACTGCAACAATAAAAATCTATTCATCAACTCTTTCAAAATCTGTAGCAAACTAACGATTTGTATTCCTTAATCATATAAATGACTTTAGCCATCTAAAAATTATCATTTTAAAAAATAAATTAAACAATTTTTAATGAAAGATATATTAAATATAAATGTATGTTGTTTTATGCATAGATTTAAATGTATAACTATTAAAATTTCATGTATTATTACTACTATCTAAGCTGATTGAGACATAATACATTTAAAATTAAATTCATGGTATTTGTTCTTTATTGGATTTATCTGCCTATGATAATATGTTACTCCACAAAAAGATTTTAACAATAAATATTTTACATCATTCAAATTATCTAAGATTTGCTGATCGAGTATTAAGCTGTAAACAATTACAAATAGAATATATATAAAAATATTGAAATTACCTCTAAATAACGAAGACAAAGCACTTGATAATATTAGGATCTAAAAGGGAACAAAATTAAGAGTTCACTATGATTTAAGAAATTTTCTAGTAAATAAATAAAATTCTGGGTATGGAATTACATCTCTGATAACTAAATTTATTATGGTCATTTATAGGCTAAAGGTAGAATTAGCAAGCATAGAAGACAGGTAATTGGATGGAGGGTTTAAAATTATAAGAAATCAAATATGGCAATCGAAATATTATCAAATGGGCATAGTGCAAAC